TTTTTTACAAAGACAAAATAACTTTGTTACTTTCATCAAAGCAAAAACTATAGCATTGGAATAATTAAAATATGAGTATGAGATACATATTTATGTATGTATATATTTATACAATTACTATAAGAATAAAAAAATATGTTTTTTGCTCTTCTATCTATTTATTTTACAGAAGTTAGGGTGAACGTATATTTAACCATAATACACACATATGTATGTATATATATTATATTTAATTTAATTTAAAACTAAGGCGAACAAGTAAGAGTGTTTTATGCGGCTATGTCCACCATTAAACCGTATGCCGTAAATGGAATGCTCCCCACTGAACATTAGGTTGATATTTGGAATAGGGCCTAAGACAATTATGGACACAGCCCTTTCCGATTAACAAAATATAAACCATGAAACCATGTATATGGGCGGTAGAGTAAATTATAGACCGATTGTCGTAAAATTTAGTAGATAGATTTCACTTATTTGTTTAATCAAATTTCATCACTGTACTCACATTTTAATTTCAGTCTTGAGTGTTTATATCGAATTTCATTATTGTACTCGCATTTTTATGCCAGTAATAAGCTTTAAAGAAATTTTGTGAAGGGGACCTTATATGAGGGTAAGATGAATTACCGATCCATTCCGTACTAAATTCGGTACAAATGTGGCTTATATCGAATTGTATAATTTTATCGTCATACTCGTATTTTAAAGCCATTAATGAGCGTTAAAGTCATTTTCTGAAGGGGACCTTATATAGGGGGTAGGGTCAACTATGGACCGATTCTCATAAATTTGTATTCGTAAGAAACTTATTTATGTCGAATTTTAGTGTTATTCACGTATTTTTAAGCCAGTAGTGGGTGTTAAAGTAATTTTGTGAAGGGGACCTTATGTGGGGGTTAGGGTCAATTATGGACCGATCCTCATAAAATTTGGTAGAGGAATTTTGGCTCATATGAAACTTATTTATGTTGAATTTCATCGCTATACTTACATTTTTAAAAGAGTTATAACTGCTATAGCTGTGTTTCGGGGGTCCACTTGTATGGTGGCTATCCCGACCGTTATTGCCTGTTTTCAATACCAAACAAACATTACGTATACGAAATATTTGTGGAAAATTTCAACTCACTAGCTCTTTCCATTCGGACTCTATCGTGCTTTCAACAGACAGACGGACGGACATGGCTAAATAGTCTTACAATTTGATAAGGACCCAGAATATATATATACTTTTGTGGGTCTATGTGTTACAAACGGAATGACAAAATCAATATACCCCAAATTTTTTTGATGGTGGGTATAAAAATATAGGACCATTTATATCGATTTTTACACTTTTTTGATATAATTGGTAATATAGTAAAAGTTTTTTTTTTTATATTTGAAGTTTAGAATGAAACAAAAACCGTCCAAAAGTATTGATATTTTTGGACACGTCTATTGTAAATTAAGAATATGACCATATTTTGGCTCTTTTACCATACGATAGCCAATATTGTGTTATATACGAAAACAATTTTTTATGGTCTTTTCCAATCAAAAAACTTACGTTCAAAATCTATTTTATGAAATCTGCCAAAAAATATAAATTTGACTTTTTTTCTATTGAACTAGAGAAAAATCTTAAATTTTTAATACGGGCCACTTTGAAGTTATAGCTCTAGTGTACACTGTACATACATACATATTATATTCTATGTTGTCCCTTTGGATAATAAAAAAACTACTCCTGTGTAAACAATATTGGAAAACATGATTCGTTTAGTCATGGCATGTATCAAGTTTATATATTGATAACAGCATTACATAGGACAATGGTACTCCCAAAATTTTTGGTAAGGGTGTAGTTTTGGAATTACTCTGATGTAATGCATAGCTACATTACGTGGTCTTCACTAAGGTTATAACAGTGTTAATGGAGTATGTTTTTTTCAAATACTCGCACATGTTTTGGATCAGTCCTTTGAGAATTACACTTTACGTACATGTGCGGAGTAGTTGAAATTTTTGCAGGGGTACAGCCCAGAAAACTTTGTAAAAAATAAGCAACCTGGGAAATTTTAGATAACTTAATTAAAGTTGGTAGAGGACTTTGTCTTGGAATCCTAAATAAAGGGCTAAAAGTCACCACTAATCCCAAGTAGGCTAAACGAGACATTGGGGATCAAAGGTTACAGTTTTTTACAAATATCTCGCTTATTGTGATTTATATGACTTCAGACGCTACTAAACTTCTGTTGACAATTAAATTTCCGACATTTCTACATTAGTTATTTTCGAGCTATTGTGCGTTATTTTTCTAATAATTTGTATTTAAAATTTAGTTTCCTATAAAACTTTAATTTTTCAATTTATATATATTAATTACTAGCTATAACTAGTGTGCTTTGCTACCCTTAAAGCAATATGTATAAATAAAAAACCCACTTAACGATTTTGAAGATTCTAACTACAATAGTTTTCCAGATTTATAATATGATATATGAGAGATGTCAAGCAAATTATTGCAAGTTCGCCAGTTTCTATCTATGAAAAATTTTAATAATATAAGAGTTTCCAAGATACATGAAATTTTGTATTTAATTTATATATGTTGTGCCAAGCCACCCATTGAAAGTCCAACCGTTATGCTCTAAATGTTCACATGAATGTCAAAGTTCTTCATGTAAAATTTGAAGATATACGATATAAGACTTTTTCTATTTGATTCATGTGGGGGCTTCAAGCTCCCCAGATGAAGGTCCGCACTTTTTCCTCCAAAATGTTCAGATGAATATTAAAGTAATTTGTGCAAAATTTTAAGAATCAAGTTCTATTGGTTTCCCAGATAAACGAAATTTTATATTTAATTCATATGGAAGGTGCCAAGTTCCCCATTGAAAGTCCGCCCGTTAAACTTTAAATGTTCAGATGAATGTCAAGATTCTTCAAGTTAAATTTTTAAGATTCTAGCTTTAATAGTTTCTCAGATATACGAATTTTTCTATTTAATTCATATGGGGGCTTTAATCCCCCCCCCCCAGATGAAAGTCCGCCATTTTTCCTCAAAAATGTTCAGATGAATATTTAAGATCTTCGTGCAAAATTTGAAGAATTTAGTTTCATTAGTTTCCCAGATAAACGAATTTTTATATTTAATTAATATGGGAGGTGCCGCTCCCTTCATGGGGTAGTCCGCCAATTTATTATCCAAAATGTTTAAATGGATGTTAAAGTTTGAAGATTCTAAGGATGCAAAATTTGAAGATTCTAACTGTAATAGTTTCCAAGATAAACGAGTTTTTGTATATAATTTATACGGGAGGTGCCATGCTATTCAGTCTACTTTTTGTCCTAATTGGTATATTAATTCCAAATTAATATACCAATAGCTTATTTTGTGTGAGTAAATAAACTGTTTTTTTCAAATTTTATAAAAATTGGCTCAATGAGTTTGAATAAAATTAAATTTCCCGTTTTCCCCCTTTTTGGTACTTTTTTCCCCAGTGAAATAGCAAAAATTTAGCTTCAACAAATATTACAGAGTTAGTCCGTAATTTAGTTTTCTACCTTTACACCCAAAAAGTCTGAATTTTAAAAAAGTACGAAACAGGTGTCTCCTAATTTTGGGAGATATATTCAAAATATTTAAAAAAAGACACTAAAGTTGCTGCGACGAAATTTGAGGACTCTAACTGTTATATGATCTCAAATATACGGATTTAATATTTTCTTAATATGGGCGTGGCTCCTCGCCCACTTGGAATTTCAAAATAAAAAGTAGCCTATTACCTATTCCAGATATACAGGAATACGCTGTGTTTAGTAGTCTATAACGTTCAAACATATAAACATACGAACAAACACACATTCATTTTTATATGTATAGATTATTCTCTATAAATTACCAGATTTTCTTTTTTTTTGAACAATGTAGAAATCAATTATTAAGGTCATATTTTTAAACCTTTCATTATTTATTGATTTCATTGAAATAAAATGTCACTGCTGCTTTTAAAACCATTACCCCCAAATTAAGGTATTACCTTACAAAATATCATATGTGCCATTTTAAATTACTGTCGATCATGCTGTTTTACATAGTGTAATATACACTTTTTCACATTTATTTTCTTGTATATCCTTTTAGTCCCTTTTTGTATGCTTAATAAATTCCATATAATTCGCTTTGGTTTTTAAAGTTGCTCTGCTAAGGGAAAACAGTTTTTATTTTAATGCCATAATTCTCTTTAATTGCACTTTTGGTTTAACTTTAAAAAAAAGTATATATATGTATTATATTTTATTTTGATTTTATTTTCATTTCGTTTCATTTTTTATGTTTAAACATGTATGTAAGGTCTTATGCTACATTATACAATGGATATTTATTCTTAATCCTTGGTTTATTGTTTTTTATATTTTTATTTATCTTCATTTTGCATACAATAAGGAAACAATTCTTGCTTTTTCTGTTGGTCGTTTGCTTGGATTGTTTCTTTTTGTTTTGCATTTCGATATCGATAATTTTAATTGTGGTTTTTCGCTTCCTATTTTAAATAAGTATAAACATATACATATGTATATAGATGTATCCATATACATTGCTGAAACTTATAGTGGTAGTTGTGTTTGTGTAAAGGGATTTAAATAATTGTATACTAGGGTGGTCGCCTTAATTTCAATAAATTTTATTAAATAAATCTGTGTTAATATTTTTAAAATCACAAACAATTCCTGATATGCAATTGAAAGCGTCTCTGAAAAAAATATGAAAAAATCCGTATTTGGACACTCTATTTTATATTCGTTTTTATTTAGTTCTTATATTTTTTATATCTATTTGATTGCTACTTATTCGTATTTAACAATGAAGGCAATAACTTAAAAAAATCAATATGTGGTTGAAAATTTAATAAAAATAAAAAAGTTACACTCATACATATATAAAACTTAAAATTAATAAAATCGTAAATAATTTGGTTAAATAACCAACGTAAAAATGTTCAGCTACTTACCATTTGATGACGTTGAAAATACGAAACTTTGTGAATAATCACTCCAACCATAACGATTCCTACGAAATAAAAGCAAATAAAATACTTTGAATTAAATACTATATACATATGTACTCATGTAAGAAGGATATGAAAAGAAGCAAAAAAAGGTGACAGAACCAGATTATATGATATTTCTTTTTAAATTTCATTACATTGTTTATAAAATTCAGAAATTTATTATGTTTTTCTTGAAAATATCTTTAAGCTTTTACGTGAGACTTCAAGAACTAAATTCTATAAAATTTCAAATGTAATAAATTTCTTTGAATATATATCATCTTACTATCATAATTTTTAAACGATTAATAATTGACAATAATCTCGTTAATTACTAAAGGATTTTTATATGTAGATGGTTGGGTCAATTATAAAACAACTAGCGTACCCTGGGTGCTTCGCTACGCTAACCAAAGTTAAATACGTACAAAATTTTGTTTACATATATACAAAATTTAAATTTATTAAAAAAATTTTAATGTTTCAGTTTTTACGTGCAATATCACGTGAATAAATTCGCATTCAGTAAGAAGCTTGTATTTTTAGTTTCATTCGTTTAGCTTCCACATTATAGAAAATTTCGAAAGTACTATTTGAAAAAAAGTACTATAAAATACCTCTTATAGATTCTCATTTAATCAAAAATTTTATGTTTCTGTGTTCAATATTATATACAATTCAAAATATATCATTTGATGAATGAAAAAGTACCAAAAGTCCCTTTCAGTAGAAAAGTACCAAAGAGTATGTTAAAATTTATGTTCCTAGGTTGAATATTTTAGAAAATTCAAAAAGTACCATTTTGAGATAAAAAGTACTAAAAAGTTCTCTCTTAAATAATCTTTTAAATGAGGACCGTGTATGTTTAATAATCATGTTTTTTGAGAACATACAGAGAATATCATTTGAAGAAAGAAAGTGTACCAAAAGTGGAATAAATTCTACCTTAGTGGAAAGTACTAATAAAAGTAGTAATTTTTTCCCCCTTTTCGCTTACTTTTTTGAGAATTAAGTTTACAAAATATTCTATATTTAAATCTATATATCACAGATAAAACTCAGACGATTTAAATTTGCATTCATTTGTTTACTCGAATTTGGTCCTATATATGACTTAGTACTCGAATTCCAAATTAATATACCAATAGCTTATTTTGTATGAGTAAATAAACTGTTTTTTCAAATTTTATAAAAATTGGCTCAATGAGTTTGAATAAAATTAAATTTCCCGTTTTCCCCCTTTTTGGTACTTTTTTCCCCAGTGAAATAGCAAAAATTTAGCTTCAATAAATATTACAGAGTTAGTCCGTAATTTAGTTTTCTATCTTTACACCCAAAAAGTCTGAATTTTAAAAAAGTACGAAACAGGTGTCTCCTAATTTTGGGAGATATATTCAAAATATTAAAAAAAAGTTATTTTGTTTAGTAGTTAAATAGTTATAACGGGCCAAAAAAGGTACCAAAATCACCTTTGTTACACATTTTCAGCCCTTAAAAGTACGAATTTCAAAAAAGTACCAGACACCCATCTGCTTATTTTAAGAGTAGATACAGGTGCATTTTTCTTGTATCACTAATATTAGGTAAGATAATTAAGAAAACCTTTTTTACCCCTAAATGGTCCAAAAATCAGAAAGTGATTCTGAGTCGATCGGTATACTTTGTGCATTACAAACATCAGCACAAACATTATGGTGATGTAGGGTATAAATATTTTCAAATTCTTATCTAATTAATTGGAAAAAATACTTTGACTTAATTATGTGAATTTCTTTCATATTATTAATAGTTTTCTCCTTTCAATATATTCATTCCAATTTTCATCGCTTTTGTTCATTAGTATATAGTAAATGTATGTATATTAATTTTTATTTGTATTAGAAAACTTATCATGTAATTTGCCACCATAAAGTTGTTTTTTAAACTATTTAATGTAGCTTGAGGATAAACAACAAAATATTCTAAAATTCAACTAGATTTTAACCCCAACCCTAAAAATGCTTAATGACAGCAAATACATAAGAGGGAAGTGAACTAAAGCAAAAAAATAACTAAAGCATTTTAAAATGTATAACAAATTACTACGAGCAGCAGCAGCAGTGATATTAATAGAGTAAGAAAAACTATGGCACTTACCTCGCTTGAACTGTAGCTTCATAATGTTGATCTGGATCTAAACCGCGTATCATATAGCTCATGCCTTGTGTATAATGATGTGATGTAGGTATGGCGGGTAAGACAACGTCACGCCAGTCATTGCGACCCCAATGTATAACATTACCGGCACCATAGCTGCCATAACCGCCACTGTTGCCCATGCCGTTCATGCTGCTAATGCCACCTAAACGATAATTGTGCGCATTCACACCCATCATACTACTGCTGCCACCGTACATTTGCAAAACAGACGACGATGACGATGAATGCGAATCAATAGAGTTATCGACCTCTTGTCCTTGTTGCAACCTTCGGAAGGATAATTTGTATTCTTCAATGGGTGTATGAGATTCTACAGTCCAAGAAATATTGTATCTAAAAATAAAAGAAAAATTGTTAAAATAACAAAAACACATGGCATTGTATTAATAAAATGTTATGTTGCAAGTTGCACAAATATTTTAACATTACATTCTTGAATGACAATGTATGTATGCACTATATAGTGTTGTGTGCATGGGTGTACTCTGTCTATTTGTATACATAGTAAATGTTATTTTTGTTTTTCTTCCATTTTGTAGTTTTTAGTTTTATTTAAACTGACTTGAGTGAGTCACATTGCAGCAAATGTTGAATTAATAAAGTTGCCATTACTTTACTCATACCACCCCCAGCCAATGACAATGACTAAGGACACCAAGTACAAGTAAGTAAACTTTGTATATTTTTTTAGTTCGATTTTCTTTAGTGTTTTTGTTTAGAAACGTCTTAGCTTTTTTTTTTTCAACTGAGTTCAGTTACCAGTGAACAATGGACTGGTGGCTGGTTAGAAAACAAAAAATAAATACTGGAAGAACGACGTAATGAAGAAACCATCTAATGCTTTTGTTGTGCTTTACTTTATTGTTAAAGTCATCAAGTGGAAAAAATAAACTGAAAAAATATCTATTGAAGTTAAGAGGGTTGGTATTAATGGTTTAGCAAATATTTGAAATATGAAAAAAAGAATCAATGTTTAAATTTCTGCTTAATTGATGGCATTGCAGAAATTTAAGTTTTATTTCTTTAGAATTTTAACATTTGCTTGTATACTTTTGAATATTTGTAATTAAAAATATGTATATTATGTATTTACATATGTATGTACGTACGTACACTTCTAGGAAGGTATGAGTGATATGTATCTCAGTTAGTATTCATTATTACTCATACGTTTTTGAGTAATTTGTAGAATAAATAATTAATACATAACTATTTTCACTACGTAAGTATATGTAATTTGTGTTTTTGAACTAACAATGTTGTTATTATAGAATATGTGAATTATTAATGCATCTTAATTGAAGTACATATGTCTCAATTACTTTCATAATAATAGAAGAGTATTTAACTATGCGGTGAATCAGATTTCTTAGCAAAAATCACTAATTTGAATTTAAACCCTCTACCAATGTACGTACATATGTATGTATGTGCGCCTTATATGGTAACTGGGGTCAATTAAAAGGATTTTAAATGAAAAATTATTAAGATTCTAATATTCTTTTAGAAATAAATCACTGTTGAATTTTAATTTAATTTACTGACAATAAACAGATTTTCTTTTAGCAGAGTAATATGTCGAATTTGAATGCTGTACTAGTGTTATAGACGTTAAAGCCATTTTCTAACTTGATATGAAAAGTTGATAGTCTAGGGTCTAATAAAAATCATAAAATTCAGTTTTAGATTTATAAACGTTAAAACATTTTCTGAAGGAGAACTAATATTGGGGATAGGATCGAATATGGCCCAATATTCACCATAGATTGTAATAAAATTTATAGATACATCACAATTTCTACAGCTCATGAGTGGTCAACTCTACATAAGAATAATTTGTTAAGAAAAAAACTTTTCTAAACTTAATGAGGACTAAATTATTGGCCGTGCTCTACCGAATTAAGAATATAAATTATTCAAAAGAAATCATATCTTTAATTCAGTTATGAGATTTAAAGTGATTTTAGGAAGTTTTTTAAGTAACTAATGAGTGTTAAAGTAATTTTCTGAAGTGGTCTTAGATGGGGGGGTAGGATCAGTTATCGATCCATTTTCATCGAAGTCGGTAGGAAGATTTTAGTTCCCATAAAACTTGTTTATGTTGAATTTCTTCTACTGGTATTTTTATGCCAGTAATGCACGTTAAAGTCATTTCCTGAAGGGGCCCTTATATGGGGGTTAGGGTCAATTATGAACCGATCCTCCTAAAATTTTGTAGAAAGATTTTTGATAAATATTGTTCATGTCGAATTTCATCGCTGTACTCGCTATTTTATGCTAGTGACGAGCATTAAAATCATTTTCTGAAGGATAAATCATTTTCTGAAAGGGCTTTATATGGGGTGAATTATGGATCGATCCACTTAGAATTTGGTAGAGAGCTAGCAAACTTACTTGTATTGAATTCCATAGCTATACGCGTATTTTTAAGTCAATAATGAGCGCTAAAGTAATTTTCTGAAGGGACCTTATATGTATGGGGGGTATAGCCAACTATGGGACGATTCTTATAAAAGTTTGCAGAGAGGTGTTGGCTTCTTTATGTCAAATTTCATCGTTATACTCGTATTTTTTAGCCAGTAATGATCGTTAAAGTAATTTTCTCAAGGGGACCTTGTATGAGGGGTAGAGTCAATTATAGACCCAATCCTAATAAAATTTGGAAGAGAGATTTTGGCTGATATGAAACTTATTTATGTAGAATTTCATCGCCATACACCTATTTTTAAAACAGTAATATCAGTTAAAGCTATTTTTGGGGGACCACTTGTAATGGGGCTATCCGAAAACGTGGACCGACATTGCCCATTTTCAATATAGATCAAACCTTACATATAGGGAATATTTATGGAAAATTTAAACCCTCTTCCTCTTTCCGTTCGGCCTCTATCGTGCTTTCAACAGACAGACTCTTAGAATTTAATAAGGATCCAGAATATATACTCTTGTGGGTCTATGAACATTATTTCGATGTGTTAAAGAACGGAATGACAAAAACAATATACCCCTCATCTTTTTTGATGGTGGGTATAAAAATATAAAGTTTTGAAAAATACTAAGAATTTCATTGTCGTCTTGTTTGTGTATGTATTCTACACCAGACCGAAAATTCTCCTTTCATTTACATTTTATTTGCTAGATAATAAAAACTTAATCTATTAACTAGTTTTTATCCTTATATTATAAATAAACTAAAATTTTTTTTCATCTTCATATTATATATAATCAACATGTCAATATAAAATCTCTATAAAATTAACAAATATTGTAATATAACTAAAGTTTAGTGTTGTCTTTGATAGTTTTTGTTCGCATACATACATACATATAAAAAATGTCTATAAAATTCATTAGAATTTTTCAAAAAGAAAAATAAAATAAAAATAGAAAAAGTTTTATTATGACATAAAAGCGATTATTAACAATTGATGATAAACTCATCTAAATAGAAATGTAATACACTTATGAATGGCAAATGTATAAATACATATTTCTTTATAATAATAATGACAAAAAGAGAAACTGATTGTGTTTCTATTTTTTTAGTATAGAAGGAAAAAGGAAATATGGCGCCGTTGATGTGTAGTTGAAAATTGACAATAAAAATGACGTCTAAGTAAAATTATATGTTTGTGTGGATGATTGCGTCTATGTATTTGTAAGTATTAAGTATCTTTTTAAAGCCATTTAGCTTCCGGTTAACAATAAAAAGTATTCTTTTCCGTAGTTTTTTTTTTCTAGCTTCTTCTTAAAACTTCTTCAAAGGATAAGACATTGTTAAGAGTTAAAAAAAGTAAGTAAAAATATTTTTTCTTTTAACAATTTCTTCATCTTAAATTACTTGTATTTACTATTACTTGTAGTTATTGTTGCGTCGTAGCTATTACATAATGTTTTTTGTTATAAAATGGAGATAGAAAAATTAAACTGCAGTCTAGGGTTCAAGAGTTAGTACACTGTATGAAAATAATAATGTTGTCAACAGTTATTTATTAATTTTTACTTCTACTCTTTTCAATTATTATTATTATTATTATTAACAACAAAAAAAGGATAACAAAGGAAACTTTTATTACTTAAATTGCACTTACAGTTAAACAACAAAAAATATATACTAAGATTTTTAATTTTTTAAGTTATATTTCTTTTACTAGTGTTTGGATTTAAACGATTTTTCTAGATTTTCAAATTAATTTCGTTTCTTAAAGAAATTTAAAAATTTTTCATTTTTTTGTTTTATTAATATACGGTGGAGTAAGTTAAGGAAAACATTTTCATTGAGACAATACGTAAATATACATATGTTATATTCTTAATGATGCATTAATAGCAAAAATTTAACTTAGTTTCTAGGTAAATATATATAACAAATTTAAAACGACTTAAATTTTTTTCCAAAATTTTGCAAATATTATCCCACTGTAATGATTCTGCTGCAATAATGGGTATTGTCAACTTGAGTTTCATTCAATCTTTTGTTAGTCGTGCTTATAGTTTTGCCATCAATTGTTGTTTTTGCAACATTCATTCATACGTTCACATGTCTGCGATATTGTTTTTTTTTTTTTTTTCTTCAATTTTTGTCTCACTTATTTTCAAGAACTAATCCAATTTAAAATTTTATTTGTCAAGTATGTTAGTAGAAAGTATTATGTATGTGTCTATCTGTGAAAAACTCATATATATGCGTAAGCTTGAGGCATTCGGATTCACTTGAAAGTATTAATAGTTATAAAAGAAAAAGTAAATAAAGAAAAATTGGAAAAAAACACACACACTAAAATGTTTTCAAGACAATTTTGTTTGCTTAGAAAATGTTCATTGTCCTGCAGGGTATTCTTAAAATATTTAAGTTTTTTCGTATTCTTTTAGTGATTTAGTCGTAAGTGTTCAAAAAAAAAAAAAAAAAAAAAAAATCAACAATTTGAAAGTTTATTTAAAAATTTAGTTTTATTTATTGTTGTTTTTGTATAGAAAACAATAAGTATTTACACAAAAGTAAATGTTGCTTAAGATTTCTCTGTTCGAATGTTTGTTTTCGTTTAAAATTTTTATAGTTGTATTATTATGTTCAATTATTTGCTTTAATTGCTTGAAAATATTTTGAAAAATCACATAAAATCTAATAGCTACTATTAAAAAAATATAAAATACTATTTATTTAATTGCATAAACTATAGATGATTTGTTTACTTTTGGAGCCATTTGCTTATTAAAGGACATGTTTGTTCTTCTGCAACTGAGATGAATACATAAACGAATGATTTGATTCTGTTAATTTATATCTGCAAGATTTATGTGCCGTGTCCATCAGACTTTAAACAAAAATATTT